TGATAATCTGAAGATCACCCACACGAACATTACCAACCCCAACAGCCAGACAGAGGCTTCCTCTTAGGATGCAGGTTGCACACTGTTTGAAAGGTAGGTACAGTGGAAGAAATCAAATTTACCACTGACAGCACAATAAGCTTGATGAATAAAGGTGGTTTCACTGATAAAAGATCTATACTACATCATCACACAGTTTCACTCTCTGTGGGTAGACTTTTCACAGATAAGTGTGATCGGCATGAAGAGATTGTAGCCACTTTGTCCAGGCAGGTGAGAGAGTTATCTCCCTTGGCCCATAACTGTCCTTGTTGTTAAACATTCAATTTGCAGGCTTTTAATACTTTCAGTCTATCACAGATTTTTGTCATTTACTGCATCAAACAAATTGAGGAGGAGACAAGTTTAAGTGTGAAATCAAATTTCACAGTCTTGATCACTCTGTAGAAATTACACTGCGTTATTTTCCAACAGATTTCCACACCTTTGAAACTTAAATGTTTCTTACTAACCGTCATTGGTAAGAAATGTCCAACTGAGATGTTGCCTAATCAAACTACCTCTCACGATACTTCATACTTAGGCCACCAACAACACTTATCCAAGTCTGCATTGGGTCCTCATACAAAACTTGAGGTGAAAGATCAGATTGTAACGTCCAGTAACTGGTAAAATAGTCTTGTTAGTGGTCTCCAAGTTTCCATCCAGCAGGGAGTTGAGATCAGAGTCATCTACTAGTGAGGTAACTACTTCAGAGGTCTGTATACACTACAGTATTGCATCAACCATGAACACATTTAACCAATGAATCTAACAAAGCTAGGGTTTTAGTGAGAAAGATCTACTCAGATGAAAGAGCGCTCACATTACATCGCACTGACAGCATGACCTGGGGTGAGCTTAAAAAGGCCTCATTTAATTACATTATCAAAACAAGTCACATGTCACTGTTATACAACAGAGTGGCTGTATGTATTTACAGGTGATGCAGTGTATATAAACCCATGAAGTATTGACAGTGGTGGTGAGGTATTGACTTTGTATGTATGGACTCAAAGCTTGAGGATCATGACGACCTACAGATGATGGAAGCATAACTGATTCAATGTCCGTCACTGGGGTCATCAGCAGAGCTTGAGGATCATGATGACCTACAGATGATGGAAGCAAACTGATTCAATGTCCGTCACTGGGGTCATCAGCAGAGCTTGAGGATCATGATGACCTACAGATGTTGGAAGCATAACTGATTCAATGTCCGTCACTGGGGTCATGCAACCGATTCAATGTCCAGCAGGAAGGCTTAAGGATGAGGCAGATGATCAGATACTCTTGTACTGTGACTGGTTACCTATGACTGTGGATCAAATGACACTTTAATATACAACATGACCTGGAGGCTAGTGTAGAAGATGGCTGCTGTTGGTCATACTTTATTGTTTTCAGAGAGAGATCCATTCAAATCCTGACTTCAATGATGGCTTCCTCATAGCATCCTGTACAGGGTATTCCACCTACAATCTACATCAGTTCAGCTTCAGGTCAGAGAGATGACCTCAGTGATGTGTGCATGACAGTACTTGTCATCAGATCCTAAGTTTCCATCTGTGATCTACGACTTCGGATCACCTTCACATCAGCCAGTAGCATCAACTCAATGATGGCTTCATCACAACAAAGTCATCAGATCCTAAGTTTCCATCTGTGATCTACGGCATTAAGTAACCTTTACGTCAGATAGTAGCATCACCTCAATGATGGCTTCATCACAACAAAGTCATCTGGGTTTAAGTGTCAATCTGTGATCTACATCATGTCAGGCAATAGCATGGACCCAATGTCTTCATGACAGCAATGTCAGCAGGGCCTAGGTTTCCATCTGTGATCTACAACATCGGGTCACCTTCACAACAAAGTCAATGGGTCGTGTAATCTACATCAGGTCAGACAATAACATAGTCCCAATGTCTTCATGACAGCAGTGTCAGCAGGGCCTAAGTTTCCACCTATAATCTATATAAGGTCTGTCAGAAGCATCTCCTCCATGCCATCACAATCTCTATGTGAAAATGCATTCACACTACCATTCTACACTAAGGTCGCGATGTCATCACAGGAAGTATCACAGGTAAGTATCGAAGCTATCAACGTTGATGTACAGAAACTCACTGCCAGGAACAGCTGTCATATCATGGTCGGCTTTGTCCTCCAACCTGAAACAGCAAGAACACATGCTTTAATGCCAAGACTGACTGACTGAGTTTAGTTTTACGCCGCTTTTAGCAATATTCCAGCAGTATCACGGCGGGGGACACCAGAAATGAGCTTCACACATTGTGCCCATGTGGGGAATCGAACCCGGGTCTTCGGCGTGACGAGACAACGCTTTAACCACTAGGCTACCCCACCACCCCAATAATGCCAAGAAGGAGAAGGATGCTTGTACAAGACCGATGTCTATACGGTACCAAGAAAGGGGCGGTGGGGTAACCTAATCGTTAAAGCCTCCGCTCATGACGCTGAAGACCCGGGTTCGATTCCTGACATTGTGTACATGGAATGTGATGTATATTTATATGTTGGAGCCAATGGTGGATGACTAATAAACACATATAAGTTTGTTATATTATTTCAGGCATTGATAGAAGAAGACAAAACTGAAACCTGAAAACAATTAATTACCAGGTATTAGCTCCAGCATAGGTTAGTACCGGTATATTACAAGGAGGCAGCAAATTTCCCTTTTGTTTTAAAATTCCTCAAATTTTTTTTACTTACAGAGTTCTTATCTCCATCATAAACAGTGAGTGAGTATGTTTTTTGGCCATTTTTAGCAATATCCCAGCAATAACACGGCAGAGGACACCAGAAATAGGCTTCACACATTGTACCCATGTAGGGAATCAAACCCAGGTCTTTGACGTGACACGAGAATGCTTTCACTACTAGGCTACCCTACCGCACCTCCATCATACAGAACTGGCAGGGGGCACACGTTAACAGAACAAACGATAGACATCTTGTGAACACTCCATGAATCAGTATACAGGGATAAGATTACAGAATTGTTCTGAAGATCAGGGTTGGTGATTCTAATGACTAAAGTGAATTTGTCATGATTGAAGACAGATTATTTGGTGTACACATTGTCGCTGTTGCATCAAAACATGAACATGAACATGAAACAATCTACAGGGGTATTCAGTTTAATCAATACTCATTGCCTTCGATGAAACCTGAAGCTGCTATTATGGGTTAATAATGTTAATAGTGATATTATGAATAGCATATGAGTTCAGAATTAATGCTATGCAATAAAAAATATCTGATATTATTTCTACATTTTTCAAATGGCAATGATTAATAGCAGCAAACAGCATTAGCAGATAGCAGATGTAAGGCTTCTTTGTGAGTAAATGTTCCTAAAAACGCAGTAATATATAACACATCTTACCTAGGTAAATGTTACTCAAAATAAGAGAAAAACAAAACAAAAACAATATCAAATAAAAATAAATAAATCAACAATCATTTTAATCCCCAGAAGAAACAAACCTACAATGCAGTTTGGCCAAGCACTTTGATAGTATAAAATTAGTCTTACAGAAATATTATGCAATGACCTCTAGTATTTAACCGCTGAACTCACTTGTACTTGGTCTAAGCATGCCTGTTAGCAGACTGCACTGCAGGTGATTCTATTTTACAGTATGAAAAAACAAAATAGTGAAACCTAAGAAAATTATTACAATATGCCAGGATCACCCTATAAGATTTAACAATTTTTTAAATATAAATTCAGATGATTTAATTTTAATTTTTAAATCTAATTAACAAAATTGATAATTGTATACTTTTTCCAACATCAATTTACAAATGTAATTAGGTTTTTACATGTAACAGGGACTCAGAAATTAAATAATAATTGAAAAAAATAAAAATAAATTAACTAGGTTTCACAATATTTTGTTATTTGTGTTTTTTATATGACACAAAATTACACAAATTATATAAAAATTCACCAAAATTAAAATTCTAAAAAAATAAACATTCACAAAAAATTACGTAAACAAAAATTACGTACGAATAAACAGAAAATTTGAATACAAAATGAGAGTGCAATAGACATGAAATGAACAGATGTTACAGTGACATACTGCAAGACGTGAACTGAAAACACTGTCGCGGCTAGGCATACATGTCATACATGGTGTGAAGTACAACTTCATGTGCAGTGACGCACTTGAGTCATCGCGTGACAAGAGTTGTGTACAAACAAGACTATAGAAAGGATACAGAAAACCAACCACAAAGACAGAGAACAGAAGAGAAAGACCCCATTTACCACAAGACACACCAAATTTATACTCACTAGGGATGGGACGGGTCCAATTTTCCTACCTATGTACCTGACACTCTATTACCCGTCCGGGTACCTGTTATAACAGTAATTATGAGTTATCCCCCTTCAATAAATTCAGTCATGGCCAAGATTAAGAGTGGCATCTGGAAATATTTTGAATCCGTCGCATCAGGCACAAAGACAAAATGCATTCAATTAATTCTTCATTTATTAGTCATGTGATCAAAGCATGTCCGGGTAATGTGATAAGTACCCGGGTTCAACCCTATACCCACCCCATCCCAGCCCTAATACTCAAATACTCACTGCACTGACACAAAATAAAGACAATGATATCTTGTCAAGGCGCTAGAAGGTTAACAGTCATATGACTTATCCCACCGGGTACCCATACTGCTGGGGAACAGAGGCAATTCATGAACAAACTCACTTGCCTAAGGAGAAACCACAAGAGTCATGTCAGCTTTATTGTGGGGCAGGACTGAGTCCTAGAAACTGTGAGAAGTCAAGCTGCCAAACAGGGTCACCCACCCAAGGACTGTCCGCCACCAACGTTGCTTAACTTCAACAGATTTGTTACCCTGGCTCTATGCACAGGGCCACAAATTATCAGTTGGATGGTTTTCAATCAGGTCAGTAAAGTGTGTGAATTTGGTTTAACACTATCTTGAACAATAGTTCTGGTACTTTACAACATGTTCTTAAAAATCTACAACTATCTATGGTGCTGATAGACTTGGATATATAATCAGGGAAACACCAGGATTTGAACCCATGATCAGGCACACCAAGGGACACAACTCTGCAGTGAATTGTGGTGCCTATGACTACCTGGCTATCCATAGCCATGCTGCTTCTGAGAAACCTTGCAATATTCTAGTGAGGGACATCTATTATATTCTTGTGATATGTTATACAAATAAGTGATCTGAAAATATGGTAAAAACACTGGTAAAAAGGTGATTCATCTGTTTGTTGGTTACCAATGTATAGTCCTTCCATCATGTCTAGAGATGCAGTGCATTACATATTCGCATATTAATAGCATCCACATCGATTACATCATACATTCAATTGAATAAATAAAATTTAAAACTTCAGTTTTTCTAAATAAATATGCTATTGGTCAGCAGCATCCATTCAACTTCAATTAAATTAAAATATAATTTTATAATAAATACATTTTGAAACTTTACCCAAAAATAAAATTTGTAATATTAATTCCAAGAATGGTTCATACAAATACAATTATTACAGAAAAATCTAATGTGTTAGAAAATTAGCTATATAATTACACAGCTACACACTGTAAGTATCAACTGATCAGTTAGGCGACTGTTTGCATTGCAAGTGTACGTGAAATTAACGCTGCTATTGACAAGCTACGTGCCAATCTGAGGCCTACAGCATGTTAGAGCATGCAATGAACATGCAAGGAAGGTACAAACCTACGCTATCCTCTCCGTGGTTGTCGCCAGCAGATTTCCAAAGCATGGGAGCAAAAGCAAAGAAATCAGGTTATTATACACATCACGCCCATCTAAAGCATTATTACAATTATTTTGAAATTAAAATTAATCATGTAGTGGTCACATTCTTGTAGAATGTAGAAAGGTTATTTTGTAACAGTGCAAATGAACCTGACGCAAAGATTTAATGATTTCCCTTACTTCATCTTACAATCATCTAATCAGTTTCTAGGTATAAATGTACTTGCTTTGTTATTATGAAAATATTTTTAAAGTAAAGTTATAAAAAATCATACAATCTAAACGATCCTATCACACGGTCTGGTACTATCAAAGTTACTATACTATCAAAGTTACATTTGCTCTTAATTTTTCACATAATTCTAAAGGAAATAGAAACACAGAACCCAACAACATTTATAATTAACAGTCTTGTTTTTCACATTTCAAATAATGTGATAATTGTGATGGTTGTCATGGTTACTTGTTGCTGATGTCTCGGCACCGTTGGAGATCTTCACTTATACTTCATTTTTTCTTGATCCTCTTTTTACAACTGTGTGTCCACTTGAACTTGATAAATATCCAAAGTACTGACAATGTGTGACATAAGGGTGCAATTCTCACTTTCAGGTTTGCTTAAATAGGATAGAATATGTTTACACGTATATTCCTATTCCTCGCCATGTGTCATATACAGATAAAACCTGTTAATCCAGACAGTGCTGAATACAGTGAAAGCCTGTTGATCAAGACCGTAATGTGAAAAGCGAAACCCTGTTAATCCAGACTGTACGGTATGCAATGAAACATTGTTAATACAGACATTACTGTATACAGTAAAACCCTGTTAATCAAGACTGTAATGTAGACAGTGACTCCCTTTGCATTCCTGCAAAAACCTGTCCAGATTGGCTGATAAACCAACAAGGGTAAGGAGTAATGTCTCTTTGTGTGCTGATTTAATGATGCATGAAAGGCAGGTTTCTGGATTAACAGGGTCCATTTAAAGTTTCAGTGTGGAACACTAAGAGACTGACATGAAAACTCTGTATATCTGATGAAGATCTTCAAGACTGAATAACATGGAAAAGGCTAATGTGTGCATCACCTAGGCGATCAGCTGCATTTAGATATCCAGGTTTCTTTTAAATCTGAAACTGATGAGCAGTTTCTTTCAGGTATCAGTGACATTTATCTCTCTCAAATTGCTCAGAATTCAAACTGGAGGAAATAAAACAGGTGAAACCAAGTTTCCTGGAACATCATTCACCTGTGCTAACAACTGCGTGTACACTGTATAATCATAACAAGGCTATAGTACTGTAGTGCGGTTGACTTTGACCCAAACGATGTAGGTTATCAAGTCATATGTCCAGACACCATCACCACTTTGTACAAGGGAGAGGTGAAAGTGTTAAGTTCAACCCAGATTACAGAGCCTGATTAGATTAAAGAACATTAATCAAGGTTCTATTAATATGTGTTACATCATGCGGTAAGGACACGTTAACTTGCCTCTCTGCAGCGGGACCAGAAGCTGCCACACAAAACAGCAATATTGAAATTATTGCTTGTGAAACAAACTTTGGATATCAAGGTTAATACAGTTTTCCACAAGTTCTTGGAAATTACTATTTTTTTAAATGTGAGCAGGAAATTATCCAATGTCTGATTGTGTATAAAAGTTTGTAAACTAGGTGGACTGATTCTCAGAAAAGGCTGAACTAAATGAACCAGTCTACATTGTTGTTTGATAGTACATATTCTTTGGTATTTAAAAATTATCACCTTAAAAAGGATAATCATGATTGTGATGAATAGTTCAACAATTCACATACATCTGTAAAATCTTGATATAATTATCATTTAATCCAGCCCTCCAAAACGTATTTCTGTAAAAAAAAATCAACAATAGTGTCCCTGATGAAATAAGATGTAAAACTCTCCAAGCTTTTGGTGATCCAAAGTACCATGTTCCTCTAATAAGAGCTCTGCTATTCTTTTCATGAGCTTCCAAAACCAGATTGTACGGAGGTCTGGCAGTAATTTGGCACATGTTGCTTAATATTTCGACTGAGCTTGAGGAAGTAATTTAAGCATAACCCAAACGACGATAAGAAACAAGCAGTTATTGTGTTGTATACTGCTTCATGTCCATTTCTCATTAAGGCCAGTGCCTATTACTGGCTTTTAGATCAGCTAGCTCTTATTAGAGTGAATACGGTAATTGTTGTCCACAATTCTACTGCTTCAAAGCACGGTGCTGAGATGGTTTCGATTTTATTCAATCATCTATGATAAATTCAACTAAGAACAGGATTTAACCTTCTGACACATTTTTACATCAGGTCAAAATGTTAGTTCTATTCAAGTTCCACTGATTCAAATCTTTTACAGAGAAAATCTGAGTTTCACATATAATCAAATTAAGTTCACCTGTTGATAACTCTTTTCTACAGCTTCCTGTTCTATCTTTTTTCTCCAGTCCTGGTGTTCTGTGATGTGTGTAACAGGTATATATTGAGTACAGATCGTTAGCTGGTCTTGTAAGCCTAATCTGTAAGGGGTGAAGCACTGTTATACTGTCCTTAGATCAGTATTGGGAGAGTCTGTGTGTAGGGTTTACAAGAACAGAGGCAATCATGCTTGAAATCAGGACCGATGTACTGAGCTCCTTCGTGTCTCACACCAAGTGTACTTTATATATACATCGGAAATACAGAATGATGGTGAACACTCTCCAATGTAAGCACACACATGATCACTTGTTTCCGTCTTGCTTCAAATCCACATCCAAACACACCAAAATCAACTACATCATAGAACTATGAGAACCCCCTGGGTCTATGCATTATCAATAGCAACCAAATTAAATACTGCAATGTTGAAAATAATTACTTTGTCAAAATCCTTTACACGAAATGATAACAAAACTTCTGATACTGTTGTAACATTTTTATGTCTGGACTAAGTAAAATTACACATACATTAAGAATGATTGGCACCTGTCTCCAGATGATGACTGCAGTCGACAGATGATGACACATTATAACGGTAGCACCAGTGCCTCTAGGTACAGACGAAGAGGGCTATGTACAACAGGCCAGGCAGGCAGTGGGCACGGCCCACACACCAGGAGCCATCTGATGCTTCCCTACAGGACAATACATACTACCAGGTCTTCCTACCAGTGATCACAGCAGAGATTACACCACAACTGCTTATTTATAATGAAATAAATGAGTTTATTAGTATCTCATTAGGCATAATCCATGTAAGCATTCCATCAATGATAAAAACCCATGGTTGTGAGGCATTGATTTACTTCAAATGCCAAACAACATGCAGTTTACTCAGTATATTAGTATCTAATTAGGCATCTTCCATATAAGCTTTCCAAACATAACCATTATAAAACTGAAAGATTTGTTTTCATGTCATCAGCGATACAATAACTCTGTTGTGAGGCATTGATTTACTTCACATGCCAAACAGCATGAAGTTTACTCATTACGCTGTCAATTTCTTACTAGAAAAGTACATCATTTGTTTTCTGTATATGAGAGTTCCAAATATAGATAGTATAGTCACGATACTTGATCTCTGATATTAGATGAGAATGATAACACACCTACTATAGCATTGTCCCAGAAGAAATTAACACTTAATACTTGTCCCATTAAGGATCAAGTCCGTTTGTCTGTGGACATATATTTACAAGTACCACAGGCATGACAAGTTTCAAGCTCCAACCAATGCTCTTATTAACATTGTTCATGTTAAGTTGGTACTTTCCATATAATTCAACTCCTTTGAAATATCAGTACTGGATATATAGCTGACAGTTCTATCAGAATATTGCTGTTTGACCAACTTGGATCACTGATAGAACGACAAGGGGGGTATGGTAGCAACTGTTCATGATACAATATGATGCTCTGATATTATCCAATAGTTTATACTGAACTCCATCAAACACATTAACCTTTATCATTACACCTGATACAACCTCCATGCATGATGTAATAATTTCAATCAAAACTTCATCGTAGCATCAGTCAGATCTGCAAACTTCAGGTACAAATTTGAAAAGATACAAATACATATTCATTTTAGTTATGTACAAATCAAGATACTATCAAAATATAAACTTTCAATATTTCCCTAGAAATCTCGTATAAGCAGGAAAGAGAAAAAGAATATTTCACTGGAAATTAGAGATTTATCATTCTAAATTTACATGTCTGAAATCTACACAGGCCTGTTACCATAGTTACAATACATTAACACTCAAACATTCATGAACTGTCAACACTAACAACATTCATTTTACCCTTGTACAGGGATGTGAGGGAGTAACTAAATAGTGCAGTACGAAAGCCACATGGAAGACATCTTAGGATAGAAAAGAGCTTATGTAAATATGGATATTATGCAAAAGTTTAAATACTGAATGGTCCCTACACAAGCTAAGTAGTATGCAATAGATAATCAAAAAATCTTTATGTAAGTGTAGACAGATGGAAATATTTTCATATATCATATAGATAAAACAGATTTGTTTCTACTATTTTCTAGAAATTTACAAAAACGTCACTGGAAATATATGCCAAGATAACCAGGATGTCGTCGTTGCGTCAGGTAACTACTTGTAAACACTATGCCTGTGATTCAATATTTGAATTGTGTAATTAATGTTTTGTGGTTTGGATAAAAGAAGCAGTATAAAGATGAAAAGCGTTCACCATCAATGCAACAAAACATACCACATCTTACAGAAAAACTGAAGGCCGTGATCATTCACAAACATCTGATGAAGCATGATGAAGCATATGATTGTGCATCACATAAATGCCCTCTTTGGCCACCAAACTATAGAGGACGAAGAGTAAAATATGACAAACCTAAAATATGATGGAGAGTGACAATACATCACAAATTTGATCAATGTGATACCATTCTGAATAATCGTGCACAATTAAAAACACAAGAGTGTTCATTTCTTTCTCAAATAATGTCCTTCCATATCACAAATCTGTTCTTAAAAGCAAAAAGATTTAAAAATGGTACTTGGTGGCCAAGATGGGAACAATTATGTTCAACAATACCCAAAACAGGGGAGATAATTCATTCAGATCAAGGGAGACAACTTTTATACACACAGAACCTCTACACGTGAAGTGTGATGGCAATGCAATATGTACAATGATAATAAGTAAAAGCTAACCTACAGGTGACTGTACATTTTCTACATCTTAAAATAGTGAAAAACAAGTGGAAACACAACCAACAGAATTCCCGGAGATTAACTTTATCAACAAAAGCTGTACAAGACGTTTCATGAGATCTCTATAACATGTTACTATATTGCACCGTGATGAGAGGCTACCAGCTGAAACCACAGTCATTGTATCCTGGTGCAGCTACTTGATAAAGCATCATACCGCAATACTTATTCTAACTGTACAGGGATGGCAACAGGAAAATCTATTTTCAGCTGAAAACTTAATATTGTGTCATCGAATGGGTGGTTTGAATTGATCAATTTGAACTAATATCAACGGAAATCCATGGATCAGCGGAAAATTGCCATCCCTGACTGTAATTAACATTTGTGTCATCGAATGGGTGGTTTGAATTGATCAATTTGAACTAATATCAACGGAAATCCGTGGATCAGCGGAAAATTGCCATCCCTGACTGTAATTAACATGTGATGCACAACAATGACATCACAATTCACTCGCTCCTGCTGCTCCTCATCAACACCTACGTACACTGCACCAAGCTCACCCTATAAAGGGAATTCAGCTCCATGATCCAGTAACTTCAAACCAGGGTCTACATGTTGTTATATATGTCATGTGTGTAGGTGAGATACTGACTGTCGGTAAATTAGGGCAATAGAATCTGCTAGACTGACATACATAATGATAAACACTCAACATCATTATTGAAGGGTCACCTAGGTACGCAGGGAGTTAAACATAACACATGCCAAGAATCATCAGGTTGGAGAATGCTAACAGTGTGATCAACAGTTGGAGAACATGTTGTTTATGCCTATGTAACAATGGCGATGCGTTTGTGAAACTTGAAAAATGGACAATGAGTATTAAACACAGTGAAATGACCAATATCGAAGGTGATGGATAAAGCTACCCAAATCAACCCCAGAATCCAACCCGAGGTTTAGCCCGGGCATGTGCAATGCATGACAAGAGGCTAGAGAGTGACAGCTGAACTTCACTCTTGGAGCATGATGTATTTGTGTGATTACCCTATTTACTAAAATCTGTGTGACCCATCATTAATAAGGCTGAGTATTGTTCGGGGACAAAGTGAACATTAATAACCTGTCCTGCAAGGACTGCAAAGGCAAGTCATCCTTGAGCAGACGGCATCCATCACACCAAATCCTTTCATTATTTGAATGGCTGCTTTCAAAACCATAACTGATAATCTAAGCATATATGGTTTGCAAATGATTCCACTTTTCCTTTGCTATGGCAGCAAATGCAAAACAAATGACCAACTGTCAATAAAATCATATATGACTATTGGGGTCCGTTCATAATTTATGTCTAGGGGGGTGATGATGATTTAAGGGGATGGGGGTGTGTTCACCATTTTGTTCTGGGAAGGTAGGGGGTCATCAAGTTTGTACACATGCACTAGGGGGTCATCAATTTTGTACATAAAAATATTTGAAAATTATGCATGAAAAATATCTGAAGGGGGAGTAATTGATTTTGTACATGACAAGCAGGGGGGGGGTTATTTACTTTGTACATAAATTTCAGGGGGTGTCAGTCACATTATACATGCTTCTCCATAAAAATCATCATCACCCCCCTAGCAATTAATTATGAACAGTCCCTTAGGATGTCACACCTCAATTGTCAGTACAATTCTTCCCTCAATGTTAACAAACTAGCCAGCCTCGATAACACATACCATAACCTAGAGATGACCACTTGAAGCAATATTATACAATATTCAAAACATGAACATCATTTAGAAACACAAAATACATTTTAGATGAAAGCTCTATCACCAGATGGACTTGTTCCAGTAAGGCCGTGGGTTTGTGCTATTACAGTCTGCATAAGTGACCTATGCCTCCATCAAATATTTATACATGGATTTCAATGATAGGTGTTTGCAAAACAACTTGATGATGACCATAACAATATTGGCCTATTCTACTGTACACCTTCACAAACTTGCAACAAGACAGGTCTCAGGAAAATAACAAACTACACAAGAATTAATATAACATGAATACACTTGTATTATCAGTATCATTCAATCTTTAGTAAAAAAAATCTAAAAACATTGCAAGTGCAAACTGTTATCAAAGAAGCTGGTATTTCTGCTACCTATTCCAAATTGGGTTGTTTGGTAAATGCATTTTAACTCAACTTTGGCTAAAGACGAGATTGAAATCAGTAAAAAACACGAAATAGTCTATGAACACCATGCAAATATACCGAGTGAACTGCTATACACCAAGAGTCAATGACAGTGCAATGGACAAGAAATTGACATGAAATATACAAAATCTCGAACTAGAAATGCCACTGAGTATGAAGTAATGATGCTCTTCCAGCAAGTTATATACTCAAATCTCCTTTCAATGTCTCAAAGTCATGCACACACAAGGTAACGTGTCTGTCAATTTCCCCTATTCACATGAAATATATGTTCAATTTGCACTGTATTCTTATAACAGAATTATTTAGCGTGACAATACATACAATATTTCTTATATTTTCCATCTTCTATCTACATCAGAACAATTACTTAAAGAGATGAATACCAAGCTCCAAATGTGTTTCAGCTGACAAATATGGCACCAAAATAATAACAATCTCTTACCAACCACAATTTCTGAAGTATTATCCTGTCCCATATCCAGAAGGTACAATGTTTCTTTTGTGGGTGGAATTATGTCTATTGTGAGAATGAGGGTCGAGTTAAACTGTTCTATAAACAATGCAAGAAATCTGTACCAATCATCACGCATTGATATGAGAGTGAGTGAGTGAGTTAAGTTTTACCTCAACCAACCAATCCCGTTCGTCGGCTCTTGCGACAAGCATGGGTTACTGAAGACCAATTCTAACCCGGATCTTCATGGGGTCGTTGATATGAGAAGTGATAGTCATACAATACTTAGACTGTATTTCCTTGCGTTTAATAAGTTTAGTTTTCACACAATCTTAACTGTATAGAGGGGTCTGCATATCATGCATGCCAACAGTGACATGGCATGTCAACAAATCCATATAAAAATATAGGCCCTTCATCGTGTTTATTGGATAGCTGTGTACTTGCATGTTCAGTGTGGCTTGAAGATTTTGATACATCTCATTAACTTTACTCTGCACTTCAATCCTGTGCACATTGAGTTTGCTGATCATATGTGACCTGATCAACATACTGTAGCAACTCACTGTCATGTACGACAAGCATGATCCTGAGATTTGATCGAGATGAAAATATATCACATGTCATGTTTTGATTTATACTAGTTGTTGCCGTTTGGCTTGTCGTAGTCAGCTTTTGGGTAATCCTATGGCTTCAGAGTGTAAACATTTCATCGAAACTTATCAGTGTTTCCAAAATCTGACCAGTGCTACACCAATGATGTATTTTAATTCTAATATATTTTTTCAAAAGAAACCAGCATAAATAGGAAGATGACTTTATTATACCTACCTACTATAATTTATTCTTATTTTGCTTTCAAAATCATTGCTGCTATGATTTGAGGTGCAATTTTAAACAATAATCTCGGCATAACAATGCAAAACGAACGGAAAATCCATTGTTATTTCAAGGGTACTTTATAAGAAAATCAAATACAAGTATTTATCAATAGCAAGGTGAAAGACAAATGAAAGTGTAAAAAAATATGTCTACTACTTCTATCACAAATGTACAATTATGTTTTATCTTGTACTCACTCAAGCCAAGACTTCACCTGAAGTAGCACTATCCATATATAATAGCACTTTCCCCCCCAAACAGGACACCTAACTGAGCTGTGTGCATTACACTCAATGCTATGTGTCTCATATACAAGAAAATACAGTGAATATAATATCATTTATGCCTACTATTTAAAAGAAACACCCACTGCAAAAAGTATAATGAAGTACTAACTAAATGAGGTCCCATGTAGTGGTGTTCCGATCATCGAAAATAATAGAAAAACGATCGAAAGAAGGATTAAAATGATATTATCGATTGTAAAAAAACATATTTTCAATTAATTTGAATTTTGTTGTTTTAATTTAACACACTTGAATGAAGTAAACCAGCGATTAAATTTGATGAATATTCACGAAGAAACATGCGCTCAACAGTGAAAATCTATGCGCATTGTAAAATTTTAACTACTTTTATTGTTTAATTACAATTCCAGTGTCTTTCTTGCATGCATGCATTTCATTGCATGACAGTATTAGTTATAGGGGACCTTTACTAGAAAAAACCTGGAGAAAAACCCTTCAAATTGGTGATTTCATTAAAAATGTATATATTTCGATTATAATCAATAATCGTTCACCACAATCCTCCGATAATCGATAGTGGATTTGGTTTCCGATTCCCAACCCTAGTCCCATGGTATTTCAAAATTTTGACACACATCTATCTTGAATTTCGAACTAAGTTTGTTTGGCAGGTAAATTGGGAAAGTGTTACCTTGTTTGAATTTGGAATCATTGTTACTTTCAGATGTATTTTAACAACAAATTTAAAATTGCATTCAGTACAATGATGTGAAATTTATCAACTTTTCTCTTTGTGGGC